ATAGGCTACATATATTTAACAGAACGCGGTACCAAGACGCCGAGAGATAGGCCGGCGATGATGGAGTTCTCGATAGAGAAAGCGGCGAGCTGGAGGGTGCCGACATGGCCGGCGAAGGTCTGGGTGAAGGCCCCGAGAGAGTACTGGCAGAGGGTGGTGAAGATGGCGGGGGCCGCTAGAAACCATAGCTTCCTCGACTCGACCAGAAATTGGAGGCAGAATTGGCGAGTTCCAGTGATCGGAGGAATGTCGTCGCTGTGTATGACGAAGGAGGACGTCGAGGACCGGTTTCTAACAAGATACGTCTCCTCGTCCGTCTCCGAAAGAAGTGGTTGCTTATTTGTGGTCTCCATTAATTAATAATTAATTAATTATGAGACGCATGGAAAGGGATTTCAGGGGGGAGAAAATTAGAGAACGAGCAATTAAACAATAATAGTATACAAAAAAAAAAAANAAAAAAAAAAAACAATAATAATGTTTTTGTTTCTCTAACAATAATAATGTTTTTGTTTCTCTCTCTCTTTTAGTTTTTTATTATGACAAAGTGGGGATTTTAGTTGGATTGAGGGGAAACTAACGAGGGGTTAGTACTTTATAGGTGAGGAAAACACAAATTCCAGGGATGTGTTGGCGAGTGTGTAACAATATTTTACTTCCAATTCTGGTCCAATAGGATTCTCCTGAATTTGTTGAGTCGGTATGGAATTCTCGGGATTCTACAATAGCCAACACCCCTTGCTTGATTTAGAACCTAAGATATACTATAATAATTTACTACCAGTGCGTAGCCTGTCGGTAAACCATACTATTAAATACTAATAATTATAAATTAATGTTATTTCACAAATTCTCGAATCGCTTCACCACTCCTCTCGAACGGGTTGCGCCTTCCTTGATCGTCGATACCTGCAAAGCATGTCGGGGGTAGTCCCGGCGTTGACACTCCGACGCTCAAGTCAGTGGTATATCCAAAAGAAAATGATCCAAAAGAAAATGACAGAGTATCGAGATAATGCAACATATGCGTGTTGTGTAAAATGAATGAACTTGTGCCCTTTTATAGGTGAGGTTGTAGACTCCTCGTGGGACAAGAAGTCTTTCCGGTATTTATCTCTCAATCAGGTCGAGATTCTGAATCTTCAGAGTCCTTGAGGTTGTGAACCTCATCATGACTTGATCACAAAGCCACCTCCAGGCTCTGGTCCCCTTGATAGAACCCTCTGGTCGAGGTGCCTAAGCGCCGAGCTACCTAAGGGCCGAAGTGCCTAAGCGCCGAGCTGCTTAAGTGATCACATCCGCCTAGCTCATCAATCTCTGGCATTCCGCCTAGCTCACCAACCTATGGTATTTCGCCTAGCTAGTCCCCGCCTAGCTAGTTCACTTCGAAGGTACTATGAAGGACGCCTACGCCAAACCCCTTCCTCCCATGGGTGGTCGTGCCTAACTACGACTAAACTCGGCCTACGACCGGTCTTTCATGAACTACTATTTGTGGTCGTATCATCTACCTTGTGCGAAAATGTAAGAAGTGTCAGCAGCATGGTCCATTAATCCATCGGGAGGCGGAGAACATGGTTCCAATCAGCTCGCCATTGCATTCTCAGCA